TCCGGGGCCGGGATAACCCATGAGCGTGAGGCCACGCCATGGTAACCCTAAGCCCTTCCTTACTTGGAGGACCAGGGGACTTAGTCGTTCCTTTAAGGATATTATAGGCTTCCTTAAAGAGATCCTGAAAGGGATCTATAAGGCTTCTAGAAAGGAGGATCAGGGGACCTAGCAAGCGGGGTTATAAGTCCCCTAGTTGGAGTTATAAGTTACGTTATTTATCACCCTAGTTACTAAGTCCCATGATCCTTTAAGTAACCAGCGCCAGCTGTTTTGGGTTTAGGGCATCTATAGGGGGTTTAAGGCTTCGGGTTTAGGGTTTATAGGTTTAAAGACACCAGGGTTCAGAGGGGGGTTGGCTTGCTGCCAGCACTCTTTGAGAAAACATTGAATTAGAGAACCATGTGCTAAACTTGGGCGAACATATGCTAGAATTTTGTACAGGATTACAGTAAGCGCTCTAAAATACTCTAGACCCAAGTCTCGAAAGACCAAACAACCCTAACCCCCAAAACCCCAAGAGAAGCCCAACCTGGGCATGTCAGAAAGATGAGTCTAGGCGTGTATCGACAGCACGCAAGTTCTATACCAAGACAAGAAAGAAAGATGGAGCCTAAATCTTAAACCCTAAACCCTAAGCCCTAAACCCTAAATCATAAACCCTTGACCCTATCCCAAACTGATACCGAAGCCCTAGGCTTCGTCTCATATCTTGATTATACCAGGCCCCACCATCCTATTCTAAGTGCCCAGACCCTAACCCCTAAAACCCTAAGCCCTAAACGCCTAAATCCCTAAACCCTAAAACTCTAAACCCCCAAGCCCTGAACCCTAAGCCCGAACCCCCAAACCCCGACTGCAAACCCCTAAGCCCTAAACCCCTAACCCCTAAACCCCTAAACCCCTAGACCCCTAAACCCCTAAAGCCCTAAACCCCTAAACCCCTAAAGCCCAAAAGTACCTCGGAGACCAACCCAGGTCTTCGAGACCCAAGCCCTCGGATGTCGAAGTTCCAGACCGTCAAGGGATACATGTAGAGCCGGAGCAGACTCCTTGGGTTTAGGGATTTAGCGGTTCTGGAGTTTCCGAAACTTAGGGGTACCTTGTTTTGGGGTCCTCAATTTAGGGTAACATATTAGGGTCAAGGGAGCAGACTCCTTGGGTTTAAAGTCAGGTTTAGGGTTTCGGGGCTTAGGGTTCAGGGGTTTAGGGTTTAGGGGTTTAGGGCTTAGGGTCAAGGGATACATGACTCCTTGGGCTTCAAGAAGGGTTTAGGGCTTAGTGTTCTGTATAAGTCTGAGGCTTATTTTGAGGGCTTAGGGTTTTTGGATTTTAGGGCTGTTGGGTTCCAAAGTTTCAGGGCTTGAGTGCCAGAGCCTTACAAGGGTTCGGGGTGCCCCTGTGTGTGGGTTTTGGGAATTTGCAGCTACGGCTGGGCGGCGTTTTTGGGATGTAGTGTTCAGGGTTTGGGGTTTAGGGTTTCGGGATTTAGGGTTCAGATGCTTCAGGGTGGAGGGTTTCGACTTCGGTCTCGACATTCACCGGGGCGCAGGCCACTCGAAGCCAAACTCTCATCAACACCCTGACCCTCAGGCTACATCAAGCAGCGGGTGCAAAGGCTACACCGCAAGAGCTAAGGGTATTATTAAAACTAAACCTCTTGTTAGGATCCAGGATCCGGAGTGACCCTCAACCCTAAAGCCTGAACCCGAAACCCCAAACCCTAAGCCCGAAACCTTAGACCCTTACAAACCGAAACCCCGGACCCTGCACGGCGAGGCCCCAGCGACGGAAGGATGCGGCCATTCTCCTCGCCGCGGATCACGAGCTCAAGGCCTCTCTGTAGCAGCGCGGGGGTCGACGGCTTGGGGCTTCAGTGGCTCAGGGTGTGGGGGTTAGGGTTTAGAGTTCAGGGTTTAGGGTTACGGGTTTAGGGTCAAGCAATTGGGGTTCAAGGTTTGGGGCTCAGGATGTTTAGGGTTTTAGGGTTTACGGGTTTAAAGTTGTTGGGGTTTAGGGTCTAGGGTTCGGGGTGCAGCGCTCAGAGTTTACGGTTTAGGGGATTCTAGAAGCGTTACTGGTGTTTCCAGGTTACCACAACGGTCACTCTAACCGCCAATACTCTAAAGCTTACTGGCAACTACGGGCTTAAGTCCGAAATTCGGTGGTAGAATGTGCTGCTCTGACCTGCACAGTCTTTTGACGTAGGTATGAAGCTTTAGACACTAATTCCGACGGTTTGAACCGAAGTCTACCCCACACGGCGCCTAGGTCCTGTCTTCCGTCCATGTTCAAGACCCCCACATCCTCCGGCCTCGGCAGTGCAGCGCATCCTGTAATAGTGGTATAATAGGAATATAACGGGGCCCTAATATAATCCTTACAGTCACTATTACAGGGTGGGGGCAGCTTCTGAAATGTCTGCTTGTGGTCGACAGAGTACAGATCGTCATTATGCCACCAACAGTAACTGCGGCCAGTGATGGTGGAAATTATGAATGGCGGCAAACACCTGGGCCACTAAGAAGAACCTTCAAAAACAGCAAATCAACATGATACGATCATCAGGAGCAGCGGCATCCTCACCACCATCAATATTATCAAAACAGCGCGTCCTTTGCCCACGACAGCACCGTATCAGCGAGAGTCTGCTTCCTTAAAGGATCATGGGACATAGTAACTAGGGTTATAATAAGGGTAGCTCTATTTATAACTACTTATAACCCCGATTAAGGTACACATAACCTTGCTTACTAAGTCCCATGATCCTCCAAGCAGGGCCTGAGAGAGAATAAGAGTACTGCAGCTGATGATATAAATCCTGCATTACCCATAATAAGGAATGTACCATAATTCCCATAGTTTAGGGTCCTTAAGGTAATGCAGGATTTATATCATCAACCGTGGGAGCTCTGCGGTGCCCTTACCTGCCGGTGCGCAGCTGCCTGCTTTAAGTGAGTAGTCTGCATCGATCCTACCCTCAAGTACCTTGAAATCTTCATCTCAAAACTCTAAACCCTGAAACCTAGTCAGCAGCTGGGGAGACGACGGATCTGGTAAGTCTGTGTCGATATCATCGACAAACTTCCGCAAGTAGATGCCGCCGATGCCTTGGCAGAAACGGTCCATCTGTAATGTTACAGAGTGAATAGAGTTTTGGGGCGAATTCTGCTATAACTATGATAAGGAACCATCGGAAGAATATAAGTGATTATTTAGGCCACAACCATTGCGATGCAATCTGAACTCCAAAACGAAGCTTGGTCGAACATTCTTGCCTTCCGGGCTGAAGGTCTTGTACAGTCGGAGGGCTTGGGTTTCAGGCGTTTCGTGGTCTCATATGGGAGTTTCCGAAAATTCGGGGTACCTTCTTTTGGGGTCCTCATAATAAGGATCCTACTCTTCAGGGTGCTAGAATAAGGTCGCCTATTTTCGGAAACTGCCATGTCTACTGGTGGTGGTAGTAGCAATGCTAGGATACCCAGTAACCTAGGAATAAAAAGGCCTCTCTTTTTGGTATTGGGTAACTTTATAAGGAACCTGGGACTACAAAAAGGGAATAAGGGTACTACTGGGCGTCCTAGAATGGCAGGGCTGTCATCATCCTTCAGTCATCAAGTAAGGGGAATCAAAAGAGAAAAGCCGTCACGGCTTCACTCACTGAAGCTCGGATATGGTGAGATCATACAGGGGCCTTAGTAATTAGACTAGGGTTTTGGGGCCCATTATATTATGTATTAATCGGGAACCCCCCAAATAGTATAGATAATTATTGAGGCCCCTATATCACTGGCCACAGCCTGCCCCCAGTCACAGGGCAGCCGCTTCCACTCATGTCCTTTTTCCCTGCGAGGCCCAGAGAGCCCAATACCCCTCAATTAAGGAATATAGCCTAAATCATAAGATGAAGCCCTATATTATAATTTAAGCCTTATTCAATACCCCTTAAAAAAGGAATACAGCCTAAATCATAATATGAAGCCCTATATTCTGATTAAAGCCATATTCCTTAGCTAAGGGGTATTGGGCTCTCTGGGAACGGAGAAACATCGGCCCGCTTGGCTTTTTCCGTTCGTCCAGGCTCACTCAAAGGATCATGGGACTTGGTAACTAGGGTTATAATTAAGGTAACTCTACTTTTAACTACTTACTGTTGATGATATAAATCGTGCATGACTGTGGGTCAGCCCATCATGTATCGTCAAAGCAGTTGCATCCCCGCGCCCCTAAATTTCAATGTTGATGTCAGAGGGGAGGTCATGCAGGATTTATATCATTCGCACGGTCCTATCAGAGCACGTCCGCCTGCGACAATGTTAAAATTCAGGGGTTCAAGGGGAGCGGCCTGTGTCTTGCAAACTCATGCAGGATTTATATCATCCACCGTCCAAGATGATGTGTAGCCGTGCTTTTGAGCTCCATATCCGTGGCTGTTGTTTACCGGCCGTGTGAAAGTACAGACGCGTGCGAGAATGACTCCACGTCGGCCGAGGTTGTTTGGGGTAGAAAGTGGGTGATGTTTTTTTTTGGCTCCGTCGAGCTGGGCCGGTGTGCTGAGTGCAAACATGTCTCATGACCTGATCTGGCCAGTTGCACAGGATTCACTGTTCGGTGAAGCATTTAGTCACGCAGGCTGTTTCGGGCAAAAAGTGGGTGGTGTCTTTTTTTTTTGGCTCCGTCGAGCTGGGCCGGTGTGCTGAGTGCAAACATGTCTCATGACCTTATCTGACCAGTTGCACAGGATTCACTGTTCGGTGAAGCATTTAGTCACGCAGGCTGCTTCGGGCAAAAAGTGGGTGTTTTTTTTGGCTCCGTCGAGCTGGGCCGGTGTGCTGAGTGCAAACATGTCTCGTGACCTGATCTGGCCAGTTGCACAGGATTCATTGTTCGGTGAAGCATTTAGTCATGCACTCTTCATGCCATAGAGCATGTTTTGGACCTTGGATCAAGCGGGTAGCACAGAGCTCCCACAGTACGCCCAGAGCAGCCAGTAGTGCGCCATGCCTGTCCCAGGTTGGACTAAGATGTCGGAGGAGCAGCGCGAGCTGGCGAGGGACTGGTATAGCCGCGGGAAGAAGCCATCCGAGATAGCTGAGCTGCTAGGTAGGGACACCTCGACCATGGCACGGCTTCTGTGTATGCAGAAACAGCCGAAGAAACAGGGCCGGCCAAAAGCCTTGACCACGGCACAGGTCGACTTGCTCGAGCGGCGGCTGGATGAGCTGATCGTGAAGGTGGACGGCGCGACTACCATCACCGTCGAGACCTTGAAGAAGGCGACAAAATCCAAGGCAAGCACGCAATGCATCTTGCATGCACTGCACAAGCGGAACATTTACTTCCGCAAGCTTCGGGAGAAGCCTGTGCTGACGCCTGCGGATATCCGAGACAGGTATGCGTTCGCGAAGAAGTATCGTGGCAAATCGAAGCAGTGGTGGCTTAGCAATGTGCATGCGTTCATCGACGGGAAGCACTTTCAGGTTTACCTGACTGGAGCTGAACGTGTGCGTGCCGCCAAGCACGTCACGTTTGGTGCTTACCGCCGCCCTGGACAAGGTTTGTGCAAAGGCTATGTGAAACCCAAGGAGGGCAATCTGAGGCACAACACCGGAGCCAAGGGTGTCTTGCTGCATGTGGGTGTCGGCGCCGGCAAGGTCATCTCTGTCCAGGAGGTCGCAGGGCGGTGGAATGGTAACCCGGCGAGCGTTTTCTACAAGACACTTGCCAAGGACTTGGCTAAGGCATGGCCTGGTAAGCGCAAGTACACAGTCCTCGAGGACAATGACCCGACCGGGTACAAGTCTTCGAAGGGTTTGGCTGCGAAGCACGAAGCCCAGATTGGTGTCCTGGAGATCCCGAAGCGTAGCCCAGATCTCTCGGTCTTGGATTATGCCATTTGGAAGGAGGTCAACAAGCGCCTGCGGAAGCAGGAGAAGACGTGGAGTGGCGCCAAGCGTGAGACGCGGCCGCAGTACCTGAAGCGCCTGAAGAGGACCATCCGCAACCTGCCCAAAGCCTTCCTTGAGGACAGCATCGGGGACATGGTCCGACGCTGCAAGCGGCTGTATGAGTCCAAGGGCTACTTTTTCGAAGAGGGCGGCTCTAGCAACTGAGTGGAACTTTGAATCCTTCAGCAGGTGCAGGCGAGGCCGGAGGCCACGCTGCGACCCGGCAACTTCTCCTTGACCTTGATGTGTGATTGGTCCATTTAAGACTCGGACACTTCGTGCGGGGTGACAAAACTTGCACTGCAGCCTGAGTGATGAGTGCCGAGATTCACACTGACTTGAAGGGCGGGCTCTGCCCTTACCCTGATGCCCTGCTGCCCCTGCGCTTGCCCTTGCCCTGCCCTGCGCCGCCCCGCCCCTGGCCCTGGCTCGCCCGTGCCCTGCTTCTGGGCCCTGCATAGTTGCAAACTCGATTGTGCGGTTTTGCATAGTTGCAAACTAGTTGCAAACCTAGTTGCAAACCTAGTTGCAAACTCCACCTCTAAGGGGGGAAGCGGATTCGCACGTGAACTCTGAAGCTTGCTTCGATTGAAACAGCAGAAGTTGTGCTCCGTGCGTGTGCTTTTCCCCCTTAGAGGTGGAGTTTGCAACTAGGTTTGCAACTAGGTTTGCAACTAGTTTACAACTAGGCAAAACGGCACGGCTGGGTTTGCAACTATAGAGGGTTCATCATTCTTGGTTCTCGAAACCGTTGAATCTCACCAGTACTTGGGGGATGCGATTTCGAGGTTTCTCTGAATCCCGCAAGCTATTGGGGGGAAGCAGAAGTCGCATGTCTCGGGACACACCAGTGCTAGGGGGAAACAAGTTTCGTCCGAAAGCAGCTGGTGAGAAGCTTGAATGCCTCTTCCATAGTGACTGTGCTGAAAGTTGGGCTCAACAACCAGCAAGCAGGCTTGCGCCAGAGCTCGGCATGCCTAGCTCCAGCTCCTCGTCCTCCGGCGACGATGACTGTCCAGCTGCTGTGGCCCAGCCCGACTGGCTGACCCAGTGACGTTCGCTGCTGTTCTGAGCGAGACTGCTCTGGAAGCCGAAACTCCTCTGAAAGACTTGGCAGACCTCTCCCGCCTCCAAGTTCGGGATGCCTTGTTGGACGCAGTCGCGCATCCTGTGCCGGAGGCGACTCCTCGAGGTGGGCGGCCTCGGAGCAAGGTTTTGGAGGTCGTGAAGCTCGTTGTGTTTCTGGAGGAGCCAAAGCACTTCCACGCAGCTCTCAAGCTGAACACTTCAACGCGGTTCATGCCACTAAAACTCGCGCTGCGGCAGCGGTCTGGCTTGGCCTCGCATTGGAGCACAACGCACAAGCAGTGGTGGAGTGCCTTGCGCTATGGTGTTTTCACAACGGAGCGGAAGCCTGTTGTTGACTTCCAACCAGTAGCGTGGCTGAAGAGTCTCGGAAGTTTGGAGGCAATCCAGGTTGGAGACCGTCCGTGCCAAGAGTTTGTTGTTCCTGGTAGGGATGCAGTTGTCCTTAACCTCTACGAGGAATCCCAGGAGCCTTGGAGTGCCACCATGTGGACCAAGCGGCGCCAACAGGCCGAGGCTGCTGCTGCTGGTGCTGAGGCTTCCGGTGGCAAGAAAGCACGAGTCCCCAAGTTCAACCTCTTGGACTTCACGGCTCTGGCTCTGGAAAAAAAGCTGCTGACTCCAAGTGCAGTGCTAGCTTATGTGCAGGAGTACGGCTCGCACGCCTGCCAGCTCTTCTGTGTGCGGAACCAGAAGCGGCTTTCTGAACTGATCGCTGGTGCGGAGCAGTGGCAAGGTGCAAAGCAGCAGCATGCACTGGAGCAGGAGAGCGACTGGGCAGTAGTGCAGAGACTCGCGCAGACAAGTTGCAGCTGTCAAGGCAGCTGTGAGTGGTCAGAGGCGGCATGCGACTTCTTCAGCCGCAACCATGCCACTATTGACCAGGAGCTGCTTGCAGCCAGCTTAGCTAACGTTATCTGCCACGGTCCGAGCAAGACAGCCCGTGTCCCCATGCTAGCCGGCACGACCAATGCCGGGAAGAGTATGATCTTGGATCCACTTGTCAACGTCTTCGGCCGAAACGCAGTGGACTTTTGCCCAGCCCTCGGAGCATCGATGGCCCTGAGTTCGCTGGCGACCAACAAAGCTATTCGCTTCATCTACTGGGACGAGTTCTCTCCTACAGAGTTTGCGTCTCGCCCAGCAAGGTCGCCCACAGTGCCTGCCGTGACTTTCAAGAAGCTTTTTGCGGGCCAAATCTTGCGAATTCAGGTGAGCCAGTCGCATCACGATGGCAATCCTGATTTCAAGTGGACGAGAGGTGCAGCACTCACGGCTCCGCTGGAGGGACTGTGGGATGCAACCTCACCGGTTTCCCGAGAGGATGTGCGGCATATGCAAAGTCGCGTCATCCAATTTGATGCTCATGTTGCCATCAATGGGGCCTTAAAGAAGGTACCACATTGTGCCTCGAGCTGGTGCAGATTCGTAACGGAATCCTCTGCTGCGTACGCAGCACGCCGTCAAAGGCACTTGAGTGCCAGCGCAGCAGACCCTGTGATTGATGAGGAAGACCTGTAAGCGCGGACCCTCTTTCGCAGATCTGCAGAGCTCCCGATAATTCACTGCGGCTAACGCAAGGACACCAGGCACATACTGCCAGGATAAAAAACAAACAGAACGCCCCCTGCGCCGTACTGTTGATGATATAAATCGTGCATGACTGTGGGTCAGCCCATCATGTATCGTCAAAGCAGTTGCATCCCCGCGCCCCTAAATTTCCATGTTGATGTCAGAGGGGAGGTCATGCAGGATTTATATCATTCGCACGGTCCTATCAGAGCACGTCCGCCTGCGACAATGTTAAAATTCAGGGGTTCAAGGGGAGCGGCCTGTGTCTTACAAACTCATGCAGGATTTATATCATCCACCGTCCAAGATGATGTGTAGCCGTGCTTTTGAGCTCCATATCCGTGGCTGTTGTTTACCGGCCGTGTGAAAGTACAGACGCGTGCGAGAATGACTCCACGTCGGCCGAGGTTGTTTGGGGTAGAAAGTGGGTGATGTTTTTTTTTTTGCTCCGTCGAGCTGGGCCGGTGTGCTGAGTGCAAACATGTCTCATGACCTGATCTGGCCAGTTGCACAGGATTCACTGTTCGGTGAAGCATTTAGTCACGCAGGCTGTTTCGGGCAAAAAGTGGGTGGTGTCTTTTTTTTTTGGCTCCGTCGAGCTGGGCCGGTGTGCTGAGTGCAAACATGTCTCATGACCTTATCTGACCAGTTGCACAGGATTCACTGTTCGGTGAAGCATTTAGTCACGCAGGCTGCTTCGGGCAAAAAGTGGGTGTTTTTTTTGGCTCCGTCGAGCTGGGCCGGTGTGCTGAGTGCAAACATGTCTCGTGACCTGATCTGGCCAGTTGCACAGGATTCATTGTTCGGTGAAGCATTTAGTCATGCACTCTTCATGCCATAGAGCATGTTTTGGACCTTGGATCAAGCGGGTAGCACAGAGCTCCCACAGTACGCCCAGAGCAGCCAGTAGTGCGCCATGCCTGTCCCAGGTTGGACTAAGATGTCGGAGGAGCAGCGCGAGCTGGCGAGGGACTGGTATAGCCGCGGGAAGAAGCCATCCGAGATAGCTGAGCTGCTAGGTAGGGACACCTCGACCATGACACGGCTTCTGTGTATGCAGAAACAGCCGAAGAAACAGGGCCGGCCAAAAGCCTTGACCACGGCACAGGTCGACTTGCTCGAGCGGCGGCTGGATGAGCTGATCGTGAAGGTGGACGGCGCGACTACCATCACCGTCGAGACCTTGAAGAAGGCGACAAAATCCAAGGCAAGCACGCAATGCATCTTGCATGCACTGCACAAGCGGAACATTTACTTCCGCAAGCTTCGGGAGAAGCCTGTGCTGACGCCTGCGGATATCCGAGACAGGTATGCGTTCGCGAAGAAGTATCGTGGCAAATCGAAGCAGTGGTGGCTTAGCAATGTGCATGCGTTCATCGACGGGAAGCACTTTCAGGTTTACCTGACTGGAGCTGAACGTGTGCGTGCCGCCAAGCACGTCACGTTTGGTGCTTACCGCCGCCCTGGACAAGGTTTGTGCAAAGGCTATGTGAAACCCAAGGAGGGCAATCTGAGGCACAACACCGGAGCCAAGGGTGTCTTGCTGCATGTGGGTGTCGGCGCCGGCAAGGTCATCTCTGTCCAGGAGGTCGCAGGGCGGTGGAATGGTAACTCGGCGAGCGTTTTCTACAAGACACTTGCCAAGGACTTGGCTAAGGCATGGCCTGGTAAGCGCAAGTACACAGTCCTCGAGGACAATGACCCGACCGGGTACAAGTCTTCGAAGGGTTTGGCTGCGAAGCACGAAGCCCAGATTGGTGTCCTGGAGATCCCGAAGCGTAGCCCAGATCTCTCGGTCTTGGATTATGCCATTTGGAAGGAGGTCAACAAGCGCTTGCGGAAGCAGGAGAAGACGTGGAGTGGCGCCAAGCGTGAGACGCGGCCGCAGTACCTGAAGCGCCTGAAGAGGACCATCCGCAACCTGCCCAAAGCCTTCCTTGAGGACAGCATCGGGGACATGGTCCGACGCTGCAAGCGGCTGTATGAGTCCAAGGGCTACTTTTTCGAAGAGGGCGGCTCTAGCAACTGAGTGGAACTTTGAATCCTTCAGCAGGTGCAGGCGAGGCCGGAGGCCACGCTGCGACCCGGCAACTTCTCCTTGACCTTGATGTGTGATTGGTCCATTTAAGACTCGGACACTTCGTGCGGGGTGACAAAACTTGCACTGCAGCCTGAGTGATGAGTGCCGAGATTCACACTGACTTGAAGGGCGGGCTCTGCCCTTACCCTGATGCCCTGCTGCCCCTGCGCTTGCCCTTGCCCTGCCCTGCGCCGCCCCGCCCCTGGCCCTGGCTCGCCCGTGCCCTGCTTCTGGGCCCTGCATAGTTGCAAACTCGATTGTGCGGTTTTGCATAGTTGCAAACTAGTTGCAAACCTAGTTGCAAACCTAGTTGCAAACTCCACCTCTAAGGGGGGAAGCGGATTCGCACGTGAACTCTGAAGCTTGCTTCGATTGAAACAGCAGAAGTTGTGCTCCGTGCGTGTGCTTTTCCCCCTTAGAGGTGGGGTTTGCAACTAGGTTTGCAACTAGGTTTGCAACTAGTTTACAACTAGGCAAAACGGCACGGCTGGGTTTGCAACTATAGAGGGTTCATCATTCTTGGTTCTCGAAACCGTTGAATCTCACCAGTACTTGGGGGAAGCGATTTCGAGGTTTCTCTGAATCCCGCAAGCTATTGGGGGGAAGCAGAAGTCGCATGTCTCGGGACACACCAGTGCTAGGGGGAAACAAGTTTCGTCCGAAAGCAGCTGGTGAGAAGCTTGAATGCCTCTTCCATAGTGACTGTGCTGAAAGTTGGGCTCAACAACCAGCAAGCAGGCTTGCGCCAGAGCTCGGCATGCCTAGCTCCAGCTCCTCGTCCTCCGGCGACGATGACTGTCCAGCTGCTGTGGCCCAGCCCGACTGGCTGACCCAGTGACGTTCGCTGCTGTTCTGAGCGAGACTGCTCTGGAAGCCGAAACTCCTCTGAAAGACTTGGCAGACCTCTCCCGCCTCCAAGTTCGGGATGCCTTGTTGGACGCAGTCGCGCATCCTGTGCCGGAGGCGACTCCTCGAGGTGGGCGGCCTCGGAGCAAGGTTTTGGAGGTCGTGAAGCTCGTTGTGTTTCTGGAGGAGCCAAAGCACTTCCACGCAGCTCTCAAGCTGAACACTTCAACGCGGTTCATGCCACTAAAACTCGCGCTGCGGCAGCGGTCTGGCTTGGCCTCGCATTGGAGCACAACGCACAAGCAGTGGTGGAGTGCCTTGCGCTATGGTGTTTTCACAACGGAGCGGAAGCCTGTTGTTGACTTCCAACCAGTAGCGTGGCTGAAGAGTCTCGGAAGTTTGGAGGCAATCCAGGTTGGAGACCGTCCTCCCCCGGTCGCTGCCAAGAGGGTTGTTGTTCATGGTAGGGAGTTGCAGTTGTCCTGAACATATACGAGGCAAAAAAAAAAATCCCAGGAGCCTTGGAGTGCCACCATGTGGACCAAGCGGCGCCAACAGGCCGAGGCTGCTGCTGATGGTGCTGAGGCTTCCGGTGGCAAGAAAGCACGAGTCCCCAAGTTCAACCTCTTGGACTTCACGGCTCTGGCTCTGGAAAAAAAGCTGCTGACTCCAAGTGCAGTGCTAGCTGATGTGCAGGAGTACGGCTCGCACGCCTGCCAGCTCTTCTGTGTGCGGAACCAGAAGCGGCTTTCTGAACTGATCGCTGGTGCGGAGCAGTGGCAAGGTGCAAAGCAGCAGCATGCACTGGAGCAGGAGAGCGACTGGGCAGTAGTGCAGAGACTCGCGCAGACAAGTTGCAGCTGTCAAGGCAGCTGTGAGTGGTCAGAGGCGGCATGCGACTTCTTCAGCCGCAACCATGCCACTATTGACAAGGAGCTGCTTGCAGCCAGCTTAGCTAACGTTATTCTGACCCACGGTCCGAGAAAGAAAGCCGCGGGTCCCCAGCTAGCCGGCACGAACCAATGCCGGGAAGAGTATGATTCTTGGAGCCATTGTCAAAGTTCTTCGGCCGAGAACGCAGTGGACTTTTGTCCCAGCCCTCGGCGCGCAAGCGATGGCCCTGAGTTCGCTGGCGACCAAAAAACAAGCTATTCGCTTATCTTACTGCGGGACGAGTTCCTAACCCCTCTCCTACCGAGTTGCGTCTGCAGCAAGTAGCCACAGTGGCCTGCAGTGACTTCTAGAAGGCTTTTTGGGGTTGACCAAATCTTGCGAATTCAGGTGACAGTTAGCATCCCGATGGCAATTCCCGATTCAGTGGACGAGAGGGCAGCATCCCCGCTCCGCTGGAGGGGACGTGGATGAAACTACCGGTTTCCGAGAGGAGTGCGGCATATGCAAAGTCGCGTCATCCAATTTGATGCTCATGTTGCCATCAATGGGGCCTTAAAGAAGGTACCACATTGCGCCTCGAGCTGGTGCAGATTCGTAACGGAATCCTCTGCTGCGTACGCAGCACGCCGTCAAAGGCACTTGAGTGCCAGCGCAGCAGACCCTGTGATTGATGAGGAAGACCTGTAAGCGCGGACCCTCTTTCGCAGATCTGCAGAGATTTCCCCGCCCCTTATCACCGCCCCCTGGCCACACCCCCCCCCCCCACCTCCCCCCGCCCCCTCCACCAGGCCCGCCCCCGTACCCCCCCCGATATATAATCTTCCCCCCCCGATTCCACCCCCCCCCCCCACCCCCCCCCCCCCCCCCTCCCTAGACCCCCTCACACTCCCGATAATTCACTGCGGCTAACGCAAGGACACCAGGCATACTGCCAGGATAAAAAACAAACAGAACGCCCCCTGCGCCGTACTGTTGATGATATAAATCGTGCATGACTGTGGGTCAGCCCATCATGTATCGTCAAAGCAGTTGCATCCCCGCGCCCCTAAATTTCCATGTTGATGTCAGAGGGGAGGTCATGCAGGATTTATATCATTCGCACGGTCCTATCAGAGCACGTCCGCCTGCGACAATGTTAAAATTCAGGGGTTCAAGGGGAGCGGCCTGTGTCTTGCAAACTCATGCAGGATTTATATCATCCACCGTCCAAGATGATGTGTAGCCGTGCTTTTGAGCTCCATATCCGTGGCTGTTGTTTACCGGCCGTGTGAAAGTACAGACGCGTGCGAGAATGACTCCACGTCGGCCGAGGTTGTTTGGGGTAGAAAGTGGGTGATGTTTTTTTTTGGCTCCGTCGAGCTGGGCCGGTGTGCTGAGTGCAAACATGTCTCATGACCTGATCTGGCCAGTTGCACAGGATTCACTGTTCGGTGAAGCATTTAGTCACGCAGGCTGTTTCAAGCAAAAAGTGGGTGGTGTCTTTTTTTTTTGGCTCCGTCGAGCTGGGCCGCTGTGCTGAGTGCAAACATGTCTCATGACCTTATCTGGCCAGTTGCACAGGATTCACTGTTCGGTGAAGCATTTAGTCACGAGGATGCTTCGGGCAAAAAGTGCGGGGTTGTTTTTTTTTTTTTTTTTTTTTGTGTTGTTTTTTTTTTTTTTTTTTTTTGTTTTTTTTTTTTTTTTTTTTTTTTTTTTTTTTTTTTTGTGTTTTTTTTTTTTTTTTTTTTTTTTTTTTTTTTTTTTTTTTTTGTTTTTTTTTGTTTTTTTTTTTTTTTTTTTTTTTTTTTTTTTTTTTTTTTTTTTTTTTTTTTTTTTTTTGTTTTTTTTTTTTTTTTTTTTTTTTTTTTTTTTTTTTTTTTTTTTTTTTTTTTTTTTTTTTTTTTTTTTTTTTTTTTGTTTTTTTTTT